TTGGAGTGTGAGTGCATGTTTGAATTTGGAATTAAATGAAATGTATTGTTATGCACACCCACACCGACAACTACACTGGATCCTGCACACATACGCATTCTGTATGTGTTTCAAAATGAAAGTTGAGATTTGAGTATGGTTGGAAAACCTATTGGAGCAGTATTCTTGGGGTTTTCTGTACCTTTTATTGGTATGTGGTAGCTAATGCTACTGTACTAGTGGTTTATGGACGTTGGTTGAATGGAATGAAGGTCGTTCGGTTGCCTCTGGTTCTCGATGTAGTTTGTCAGGTTTGTTACGATGAGGTCACATGAAGGTGCACTTGCAAGTGTTGTTAGCGGAGATGTTGGTAAGAAAATTTGGTTAACATTGCTGATCTTCTCTGAAATCGTTATTTAAGAAACTTTTCTTTTACGACGTGTGTCACATATAGTTTCTGTTGTATTGCGTAGCTGTGAAATGCTGCTTGGGATGTCGATTGAATGCACGAACAATAATGACTTTCTACCAATACAGTTCATTTACATAGTTCAAATTCTTTTCATTATTTTTTATCTCGATGGCTTTTATTTGAAATATAGTTTCATGCAAGCTGTACAAATGATCAATAGACTATAATTGTAAAAAGAACAGATTTGGAGCATGCAATATAGTTTTTTGTGTTAGATAGTTCTTCTGAACATCACGGCACTCTTACGATGTTGTTGTTTTAAACGATGAATTGAAAACGTTTCCGAATATTTTCTGCTATTCTATCTAGTCTTTTAAGTTCTTCTATTTGGGTCGTTGACGGTTTAACTTGAAGTGTCACAAATTCAAATGGAGGTATGATTAGTAAATCGTCAAGTCTCTTTACACGAGATAATGGAACATAAACCGAGGCTAGTTCGAGTGGGCCAGGCGGCAAGACCAGATCGACGATAATTTTACCGAGTGCTTGACCTCGGCTTTTATGTGTTGTCATGCTATATGCCGGTATAAGCGGAAGTGCTTTACGTTTGAGCGTGAGTTTTGTTGTTTTCGTGTTTATTTTGGTTGCTTTTGCTACATTTTCTGGTAGAAGCTCTTTGGCGGCAAACAGGAATGTTTGTTCACTAACAGCTATAGAGACTATTTTGGAAGACAGTTGAGGAAGTTTTTCATCAAGTTTGCAACCAGAAAATTCCACTAAAGCGTATTTTGTTTGCTTTATAAACTTGGTATTTAATGGAAAATTCTGATCGTGGTATCGAACAT